TTTTACAAGAGAGGGCGTGACTAACGGTGAATTTATCCCCACATATGCAATGACTTGGTAAATCGACTAAGGGTAAGTCATAACGCAAGCGTAGCGAGTCTCTGGACTCTTGCTTGTTGAGGGCTAAACCTTTGTCTGCGAGAGGCATCGCATTCAGCCAAGAACTTGCGCCCTTGTCCCTCGATTGATTAACCAGACGCAGCCGGCCTGGGGAGAGGCTTGAATCAATGCTATCCATTTTCTCTTTGGCACTTGCTCTCTTAAGTGATTGTTGATGCCTCTTTAGCTCCTCCGTAGATCTATCTCCTGGCACCATGATGGAACTCTGTGATGTAATAGAATCTACGTGGGCGGTGGTTATTAGTCTCGAAGCAGCAAACTGCTGCGGTGCCTCGGATTTCAGATCAGGAATGCCTAGACCCCCTTGACCCGTTGCCAAGGTAGCAAGTCTGCGCACCTCGTTAGGGAGTAGTAGTTAAAGTAGGGAGTAGTAAATCTTCAATCACTTCCTGGATTGGATCGACATAATCTTCAAATAATAGTAATAATAATAATAATAATAATAATAATAATAATAATAACAATAATAATAATAATAAACGAGATAAAATACTGTGCCCAGTTGTTAGAAGGCCGATTAGCGCTTAACCTAGGGTTAAATTTAACCCAAATTTCTTTTTCTTGTGTTCAAAAGCATTTTCTCGGATAATTTTCTTTGTTATTTTTAGAGCTTCCAATCATCAACTTGTAGACAAAAAGAATTAAAAACTGAAATGTTTTTTAACTAACCCAGGGTTATCTTAACCTAGCTTCGAACAACTCGGCCCAGGTGTTCAGGAAGTTTTATAGGTTTCCCGTTTATTACGTAAAAAGGCAGTTGATTATGCCATACATTGATCAAAACTTTCTTTGAAATTTCACATCGCAAATTTTGTTTCGTTGCCATGTGCAGACATTTTCTTTATTTTCTTGGAGTCCTTAAATACAGTATGTGGTCCTTGGTCCGCGACGTTTCCGAACATGATGAAATATTTCGCCAGAAACTACTGAAAAAAAAAAATGAATGTGTCAGATGATTTATTGATTGCTTAGTCTTCTTTCATATGGCGAAGTTTCGGCTTTCCTGCTGTTGCTGAAGACGCGAAATTTACAGAGTTTTTAAAAAGGTAGGTTAATTTGTCTTTCTTGAAGTTTCTACTTTTGCGGCACCGTAAATTACATGGTCATGTTTACTTGGCTTGTGAATAAATAAAACGCAACTGGAAGAAGTGCCTTTTTGCAGGACATGTTTTCAGATAAAACCTTATCTGCAGCTGGAAGCAAATTTACTGCTGACTTTAAGGTGGCTGAACACAGTTTTGCGGGCGGTCAGCGGTAACTCGCGTGACGGCGCGTGTTTAAAATTAGACTAACAAACATGGCGAAAAAAGCAATGGTACACAGACGACGATTTCTCAAAATGTACTAATCAAAATTTTGTGATATTTGGCAGAATTGTTACTTTTATCGTATTTTAAATAATGAGAACTTTGAAATGGAAGTTGAACAGACGAATTTGGTGACGCATTTAATAATTACAGTACAATTATATCATTGATTGTCTAAAAACCTGTCTGCTAAAATTTGGTCAAATAAGTTTCAAATGGTAATGATTAATTATGGTAAGCTGTGTGCAAGGAAAATTTAATGAGCGAATTTAATGCAAACTGAGCAAAAGTGAAAAATTAAGGTTGTATTCAATTGTTCATGTTGCCATGGAAACCATGAAAACGTCACATTTTACCTGTCAATCAAAATCTTTCATCAGTATTTTTTTCACTTGCCAAGTTTCAGCTTGTGAGCTGCAACCTTTCTCTTGCCATGATTTGGCAAATGACATATACTCACAAACTGCCAAAACTGTATTCAGCCACCCTTAATTTTTTGTTTTGTCGACTCTTGATTTCGCGCAGTGGTCCTCTGTTGGCGACCTGTGACTTTGGTGTAATTACATTTTGCAAAATAAATAAAACCTTTTGATTGATAAATAGGAAATGTGTTGAAAATATTCCTTATACATGTTTACAAGTTCTCTTTTCTTAATAGGGAGTTTAAGATACGGCGACTACGGATTACGACTACGGCATGATGCGCATGATCAAAACCACATGACCGTTCATTTCTCCCGCGTAGTCCTACGGTGAGTTGTTGAGCTGTTAAGCGTAGTCGCGACTACGGAGAACATTTTGCTCGCATTTTGCCGTCTCGGTAATTCAAGAATCTCGTATTTTCGTAAAAAAGTTTTCAATTCACCTGCTTTAAGTGAGAGGGA